GTGGTGGGGGGGGGGAGAGGGGGAGGGGAATGACGGGAGCCCTGGTAGTGAAGGAGAGAAGGGAGCTGCATTTGTATCCCAGTGCAGCGCTGATGCCCTCCCCATCCCGGCATCTGCTCACTAGGTTTGCTCATCTAGTGTTTGCCTCCTACCCCTGCCCTTCCTCCCACCCTCTGAGTTCTTCAAATAAAATCCAGTCGGCCTCTAGGCTCCGAGTCAGGAACTTCCACTCCTGGTGTATTGGGTCCTGAGTGATGCAGCTCACCCGTGCATGCATAGCACTTTCCATCCGGGACCTTGTTTCTTCCTCGTCACTAGAAGGGAGACAGCTGTAACCATTCCCACTTCATAGGTGAAACTGAGGTGGAGAATCAGGTAGAGAGGCAGTTTGTGCCACCAATGGGTGGCAGAGATGAGTCTAAGACCCACACCTCCTGATTCCCAGATTTCCCTGGGCGCTTGCTCTGGACATGCAGCCAGTGTTGGGATGGTCCCGTGTACAGCAGGCAGGTGACCCTGGGCTAGGATTCCCATGTACCTGGGCAGGCTGCAGCTGGGAGATGAGGTCTCCCTGGCTCTTGAACACTGCTTTGTGGGCTGATCGCCTTTCTGGCAGCCCCTGAGGCCTCTTTCCCTCACAGCGCCCCCTCAGCTCCTGGAGACCCCTCCCTTAGTCCTGGAAGTGAAGGAACTGGAGGCTGTTACCTTGCGCTGTGTGGCCCGGGGCAGCCCCCAGCCTTATGTGACTTGGAAATTCCGAGGACAGGACCTTGGCAAGGGCCAGGGTCAGGTGCAAGTGAGTTGGGCCCCCCCTGGAGTGGGCGGGCAGAATTGAGAGGGCAGGAGAGGGGAGCAGAAGCGCTCCGCGGGGAGATGGGTCGGGGGAGGGGCTTTCCCTGGGCTTCCCTGAGCCTGGGGTGCTGCCTCCCTCTGCTGGCCAACCCTGGAAGTGCAGGGTCTGAGGCTGCCCAAACAGGAAGGGCCCTTTTCTTAAAGACTCCTTAACTTAGGTGCAGAACGGGACGCTCTGGATCCGCCGGGTGGAGCGAGGCAGCGCTGGAGACTACACCTGCCGAGCCTCCAGCACCGAGGGCAGCGTCACCCATACCACACAACTGCTGGTGCTAGGTGCTCTTGGGTGGGAGGGTTGGGGACCCGGGCCACCCGTGTGAGAAGACAGGACCTGTGTTGGGGAAGCACGCGGAAGATGGGGAGGAGGCTTCTATCTGAGGAAGGGGCCCGTAGGGTGAGAGAAAGGATGGAGACATGGGCGGTTTAGTGTGCAGCAGTGTATGGCAGCGGAAAGGACATGGGCGCTAGTGTTAAGCCACGAACCCCGGGACTCTCCCGGGTCCTGGTTGTGTCATCTCAAAAAAAAAAAAAAGGCTCGTGCCTACCTCTCGGCACCTGGACGGGCACAGAAAGTGGCACGTGGTCACTGGCGCTTAGCTCTTGCCTTGGGGAGGGGAGGCTAAGAGCTGTGTGAGGTTGGACTCTGACTTCCTAGCACCCGGTGTCCTGGAGGGGAAACAGGTTAATCTGTGAACCACTGGAGTGTCATTGTCCTTGGTACTTGACCAGAGCAGGGCTGGGTAACAGTTAAAGGACAGAGACACCCTGGCATCCGGAAGGCCCAAGTAGAAGAAGTCTCGCCTCCCTTTTTGACCTCGGGCCAGTTTACCTCGTAACGTGTCTGCCTCCGAAACGTCACTTCTTCATCTGCCAAAGCAGAGAGATAATTCTAACCACACTGGTTCTTACGAGGGCTCTGAGAGATAAGCAAGCAGAGCGCCAGGAGATCAGTGTAGCCTGTGGCAGGTGCTCCGTGGGTGTACCTAGGTCACTTCCCACTGGTTACTGACCCTAACTGGCTGTGCATTGGGGTCCAGGGATGGAGAAGGCAATGGGGGGGGTATGGTACCTAGAGACAGGTTTGCAGAAGGTGTGTGGCTGGGTTAGACCCTAGGAAATGGTACTCGGGACCTGGGATTCACTAGGGACAAGGAAGCAGCCTGGCATGGGGACATATGATGAAGTTCATCAGGGACTTCCTGATGAGGTTGACCTATAGAAAAATGGGTGGCCAGGTGGGGGTTATGGGCCGGCACTGAGGTGAAAGTTTTTTTGTGAGCCAGTGAGGTCCTTTCTGCATAAATAGCCATTAGTGATGAGATGCCAGGGGAATCTAGATCCTGGCATTGCTACAGCATCTTTGGTGACATATGGGACCTGTGTGGGGGACAGGGATGTGTCAGGGACTGAAAGAGTAAATGAACAGAGTCAAAAATGACCGTCCTTCACATACGGTTTCCAAGCAGAAGGAAATAGAATAAATAGGGCCACTTGTCACTTCTTGTGAAACAAGGAAGACTTGGAAAAGAGAGCAGCCTCTGGTAGAGGATTTTTTTTTTTTTATCACATCTTCCGCCTCAGGCCCTCAAGGCCCCGTAGTAATGTGCCGCAGGTTACAAAGGGCAGAGCCAGAAGAGCCCCGAGGGTTCTGGGAAGACCATGCGCTGAGGACATCTTTCTGCCTTTACTTCCCACAGGACCTCCTGTCATCGTGGTGCCCCCCATCAACAGTACGGTCAATGCCTCCCAGGATGTTTCTTTGGCCTGCCAGGCTGAGGCATACCCCGCTAACCTCACCTACAGCTGGTTCCAGGATGGCATTAATGTCTTCCACATTAGGTAGGGTAACCTACCTCTTGGGTAGCGGAGTCAGGGAACGGATGAGTAGTATCTGAGGGACCCCTCGTCTGGGCAAGGCCTGAGTTCCTCCTCACACATGCCACATTGCAGCCGCCTACAGTCTCGCGTGCGGATCCTGGTAGATGGAAGCCTGTGGCTACAGGCCACTCAGCCTGACGACGCTGGCCACTATACCTGTGTGCCCAGCAATGGCTTTCCGCATCCACCCTCCGCTTCTGCCTATCTCACTGTGCTCTGTAAGTCTGAGCTCCCACTTCCACCCCCCCACCCCACCCCTGCAGCCTGCTACCCCCAGAGACAGACCCAAAACCTTGTCCTCCAACTTGTCTCTGCATTCTTCCAGACCCAGCACAGGTGACAGCCATGCCTCCCGAGACACCTCTGCCCATTGGCATGCGGGGGGTGATCCAGTGTCCAGTTCGTGCTGACCCCCCACTGCTCTTTGTCACCTGGACCAAAGATGGGCAGGCCTTGCAGCTGGACAAGGTACAGACTTAGGACACGGGAAGGAAGGTCTGGGCTAGGTGTTGTTGTTATAGTCAGACGGCCAGCCGCAGTGGGTGGCTGAGTGTAATGCAGTGCTGTGGTTAGGAAATGTGCTTCTTACCAGATACCGTGGTTAGGTGGTGGCTGTGGGGGTGTAACGAAGACGTATCCATCCTTAGAGCATGGCCTGGAGGATGGAACTGGAACAGAGGCTCTGCTGGCAGGGCCAGAGAAGGAACAAGGCTTTGCTTCTAGGTCTGGTTGAGGAGAGATCAGCCACAAATCCTGGGACTCTGGGGTTAGATCTTGCAGAGTGGGCAGTCATTCGACGCAGAAACCACTTCGCAGAGGCAGGGTATGGTGTCGTGGGTTGATGAAAGGATGAATCGTGCGGGTGAGGTGAGAGCGGCAGTGAGCACCTGTAGGGACTTGAGTGGGTGTAGAAAAGGCTGGAAAGACAGGTTGGGTCCTAAAGGGAAAACTGCGTGCCAACTTCATATGACCTCATTCCAAGCTGATTGAGATCTTTTGTTTGTCTGAGGAGACTATAAATTCCTTGAGGCCTTGCGTCTTTTCATCATAGCGTCTTCAGGGCTTTTCCAGGTGTAGCGTTCGGTGAATTTTTGTTGAAAGTTTACAAAAATCTTAAGGCAATAGCAGCGGTGGGTTTTGGCAGTGGCGTTGTGGTATCAGGACTCTGAGTCGGAGTTAGGAGGGGCAGCTGGAAGGCTGTGAAACAGATGAGCTAGTCCAGGTGAGGGGTTATGAAGTCTGAGCTAGAGAGGACCGGAAGACAGATAGGCCGTCGTACTCAGACCAGAATGACGGACAAGTATTTAGATACGGAGAGTGAGGGGTCACACTTTATCTGGGGGGGAGTGGGGGCGGGGAGCTTTCTTATAGAAGAGGATTTGGGGTAGGAGATGCAGAATTTAGCAACGCCGTGCTGGGAGGACAGCAGGCAGGGAACCTCGCGTGACTCAACTCTAGGGAAATCTCTCAGTCTCACACCCATCGATAATAGCCCCTTGACAGGAGAGAGAGAGGTGGAGGTCTACAGTCCAGAGAGAGGGTCAGGCCAAGACCCAGAGTTGATGGGTTGACTTTCTACAAGAGAATTTCCTGTATCTCCTCCTCACTTGGGTTGCCTCTCTTCACCCTGACTTGGCCTCGTTGACTTCTCTCTCTACTTGTCATTTCCTCTGCCCTCTAGTTCCCGGGCTGGTCACAGGGCCCAGAGGGCTCACTCATCATTGCTCTTGGGAATGAGGATGCCTTGGGGGAATACTCCTGTACTCCCTACAACAGTCTTGGTACTGCTGGGCCGTCTTCCGTGACCCGAGTGCTGCTCAAGGTGAGGCCCCCAGCAAACCTGCTGTGGTGTGGCTAGGTGGCTGGATAGGCGTTCTAAACCATGTTAAGAGGGTGGAGTCAGGCAGACAGGTATGGGAGGGGCTCCTAAGTCTGTTTCTTGTGGTGGCCATAGCAACAGCCAGCACAACACGCAGGGATGAAACTGGGCAGTGGGACATCAATCACGTACACATTCAGAAAATGAGATATGTCTGTCTGATCTCAATCCTTCTGCCTCCCTTGCTGGAGTTCCACAGGAAACGGAGGAAAGGGGAGAGAGTGGGGGGGGGGGGAGGGAGAGAAGAGAGAAGACAAGGAGGATGGTCTGTAGAGACTCATCTATCTCAGAGAGTCCTGCCTCAGCCACCATTGCCCTGAAGACCTACCTGTTGGGAGCAAAGACACAGGACTGAGAGAGGGAGAATGAGTTAGAGACTGAGACAGTGTGACAAGGGTCTGGGGATGGGGGACACCCAAGCCGAGAGATGAAAGAGGGGCTGTGAAAGAGGCCCCTCCAAATCCAGATCTGGCCTGCAGGCTCCCCCGGCTTTTATAGACCAACCCAAGGAAGAGTATTTCCAAGAAGTCGGGCGAGAGTTACTCATCCCCTGCTCCGCTCAAGGAGACCCTCCTCCTCTTGTCTCTTGGGCCAAGGTAAGGCTCCTGAATCCTGACTCGGCTCTACCTGGGTCCATGCCTTATTGTTCCTCGGGTTGTTGTTTGTTTTGGAGGGGGAAGGAGGATGTGTGAAGGTACAGGCTGTCAGAGGCAATGTGGGGAGGGAAGGAACAAGTTACCTGGAGGGATGAGTGGCCCCCTTGGTGAGGGGTGGCTGCATGTATCCTCAGGGCTGACCAGTGGTTCTCTAGGTGGGCCGGGGGCTGCAGGGTCAGGCCCAGGTGGACAGCAACGGCAGCCTCATCCTCCGACCCCTGACCAAGGAGGCCCATGGACGGTGGGAATGCAGTGCCAGCAACGCTGTGGCCCATGTGGTCACTTCTACCAATGTCTATGTGCTCGGTTAGTGGCCTGGGAGCGGGCTGGGGCTGGGGGAAACAGGAGATGGGAGTATTGGTGTTGGGAGGTATAGGTGGGGACCTGTGGGTACGGGATCCCCTCCCAGGATAATGGGCGGAGGACAGAACCTGCGATGTACTCTTTACTTACCCTACTTCAGGGTCCTGATCATCATCCCTCCCTCCATTCCCCCTACCCAGGCACCAGCCCCCATGTCGTCACCAATGTGTCTGTGGTACCTTTACCCAAGGGTGCCAATGTCTCTTGGGAGCCTGGCTTTGATGGTGGCTATCTGCAGAGATTCAGTGTCTGGTATACCCCACTGTGAGTGACCTGTCCCTGACTCCACCCTGGATCTACCCGACCCTCTGCCCTTCCTTCCATCCCTCTGTGTCTAGCCACGTGCTAGCTCTGCCGCCTTATTGTCATAGATTCTTGACCTTGCGGGGCCGAGGTCCCTGAGACTTTGGTGGTTGAGCAGAGGGGTGAGGCCGGCTCTCTGGACCCCTACACCATCCCGATCATCCTTGCTGATGAGATTTCCCTGTGTTCCCCAGGGCCAAGCGTCCTGACCGAGCCCACCATGACTGGGTATCGCTGGCTGTGCCTATGGGGGCGACACACCTTCTAGTGCCAGGACTGCAACCCCATACTCAATACCAGTTCAGTGTCCTTGCTCAGAATAAGCTGGGCAGTGGGCCTTTCAGCGAGATTGTCCTGTCTATACCGGAAGGTAAGAGGTCCCCAACGCTGCACGGCACAGAAATGGATGGGAAGACCTGGAGTGGGGACAGGGCAGAGGCGCTGGGCAGCTTGCCGTCCAGAGAGGGTACAGAAAGGCTCTGGCAGAATGTGTGGGTACTTAAGAGTTGGGGAAGGCCAGGGGAGGGACAGGATGAAGGAACTCTGAGACTCTAATCCCTCATTTGTCTGTCTGTCCCATCCAGGGCTTCCTACCACACCAGCTGCCACTAGGCTTCCTCCAACAGAGATGCCACCTCCCCTGTCCCCTCCTAGAGGTTTGGTGGCCGTGCGGACACCCCGGGGGGTACTCCTGCACTGGGATCCCCCAGAACTCATCCCTAAGAGACTGGATGGCTATGTCCTGGAAGGACGGCAAGGCTCCCAAGGCTGGGAGATACTGGACCAAGCCGTGGCAGGCACAGAAATCCAGCTGCTGGTGCCTGGCCTCATCAAGGTGTGTGCCGGAGCCAGGAGAGAGAGAGGGAAGGTTCCCCTAGGGACTTTGACGGTGTCACACTCTTCTTTCCTAACCCCCGTCTTCTCACCCTGACTTGGCCATTTTCACCTCCCCTGTCCCACCTCATTCTTACCTCCCGACTACAGTCTTCACAAAAGGGACTGTGGTGGGCAGTGCTGGCCCTGATCCGCTCCATGGCCCTCCACCTCTAATCCTCAGGACGTGCTCTATGAGTTCCGCCTCGTGGCCTTTGCTGATAACTATGTCAGTGATCCCAGCAACGTAGCCAACATCTCCACTTCTGGTGAGAACCCAGTGGGAGGGAAGGTCGCGGGGGGTTACGCGGGGATCCCCAGTCCACCGACCGACCGGCCCTCTTTCCTGTCCCCCTTGCCCAGGCCTGGAAGTGTACCCTTCCCGAACACAGCTGCCCGGTCTCCTGCCCCAGCCCGTATTGGCTGGTGTTGTGGGTGGGGTCTGCTTCTTGGGCGTGGCAGTCCTCGTGAGCATCCTGGCTGCCTGCCTCATGAATCGGCGCAGGGCGGCCCGTCGTCACAGAAAACGTCTGCGCCAGGGTAGGTGCCTTCCCTCTCTTCCCTAGGCTGCCCTCACCCCTCTGCCCTCATCACTGGGGTCCTAAGTATACTGCTTGGCCACTTGAAGGGGTTGCCCATCCACCGACTGCTTCTTCCCGGGAGAACAGCCTCTCCCTCTTCACATGGTCCTGGTGCGGCATCCTTCCAGTCTGGTACCTGGCCCTTACCTACCCTTTTCCCAGTAGGATGGGAATGTGGTTGAGGGTTGCATCCCTGGAGCTTGGGCAGAAATTTACCTGGATCACCTCCTGCTCTCATGTCCTCACAGATCCACCGCTGATCTTCTCCTCACCTAGGAAGTCAGGCCCACAGTAAGTCCTTTACCTCTCTGGCTTCCTATTGCTTCCCATTGTACCTTCCGAAGGAGTTAAAATTAGAGGGAAGTGAGACCAGGCGTGTGCTGTCCCTGGCTTGGGGACTAGTCTCACGCTGTTTCTCTTCCTTCTGCCCCCACCACCTGGCCCTGTCCTGGTTCGCTCTCCCTAGCTCTGCTCGGTTTGTGCAACAGACCTTGCAAGGCCAGACCCTGATCTTCTGTCCTTCCCCAGCTCTGTTCCTGGCTCAGACAGCCCTGACAGCGTGACCAAGTTGAAGCTCCAGGGCTCCCCCGTCCCCAGCCTACGCCAGAGTCTGCTCTGGGGGGAGCCTGCCCGGCCTCCTAGCCCCCACCCGGATTCTCCAATTGGTCGGGGACACTTGCCACTGGAGCCCATTTGCCGGGGTCCAGATGGCCGCTTTGTGATGGGACCCACTGTGGCCCCTCCACAGGAAAGGCTATGTCTGGAGCGGGCAGAACCTCAGAACTCAGCCAAACGCCTGGCCCAGTCCTTCGACTGTAGCAGTAGCAGCCCCCGTGGGGTCCCCCAGCCCCTCTGCATTGCAGACATCAGCCCCGTGGGACCGCCTCCTGCGGCCCCTCTACCAGGTCCGGGTCCCCTGCTGCAGTACCTGAGCCTACCCTTCTTCCGGGAGATGAATGTAGACGGGGACTGGCCGCCTCTCGAGGAACCCACGCCTGCTCCACCTCCCGACTTCATGGATCCTCAGCCCTGTGCCCCCTCAGCTTTCCTCCCGCCACCAGACTCTCCTCCTGCAAACCTCAGGGCAGCGCTTCCCGGGGCGCTGCTGGGGGTCGGGGCCCCCTCAGAGCCCCCTTACACGGCTCTGACTGACTGGACACGGAGGGAGCGGGAGCGGGAGCGGATGCTGCCGGGGCTTCTCCCCGCTGCCCCTCGTGGCAGCCTCACCAGCCAGAGCAGTGGGAGAGGAAGTGCTTCCTTCCTGCGCCCCCCCTCCACAGCCCCCTCTGCGGGGGGAAGCTACCTCAGCCCAGCTCCAGGAGACACCAGCAGCTGGGCCAGTGGCCCTGAGAGGTGGCCCCGAAGGGAGCATGTAGTGACCGTCAGCAAAAGGTAAAGGCAATACCTACCCATTCTCGCCCTGGCCCTCCATCCTGCCCTATCATTCCGGATGCCCTCTACTCCCCCCCACCCACTCCCCACCCCCGCCCCAAATGCTCTTCACCTTCCATGTTCTATTCCCACTCTGAGACCAGAAGACTCCTTCTCTTAGAAGCTCCGCCGAGGTCCAGGAAGCTCAATCTGGTTTAGAGGACCCCAGGTTCATACTCTGCTGGATGCCCTCTGTTCCTCTGCTCACACACTTTCTACCTGTCCTTTCTAATAGGAGGAACACTTCTGTGGATGAGAACTATGAATGGGACTCAGAATTCCCCGGGGACATGGAGCTACAGGAGACTTGGCACCTGGGCTTGGCCGGCGCTCGGTCCCGACCCGAACTTGAGCCAGAGTTAGGTAATGTGAACTTCCTGGCTGGCCCCGGGGGCCCCACACTCACCCTCCCATGTTCCGGAGGTGAGTCCATCTGTTTCCCAGTCAAATTCCCGAGTCTCCCTGCTCTGGGAGTGTCTCCTGCTCCCTAGGCTCACTGCATGCAAAGGCCCTTTGGAGCCTCAGGCCTGGGCCCTTCACCCAGTGAGTCACCAACCATGGCTCTCCCCGCGCTGTCCTGCCTTTCCTTTGAAGGTGTGAAGACTCCAGACTCGGAGAGCTGTCTCCTGAGCACAGCCCATGCCCCCGGCCCCGAGGCCCGCTGTGCTGCCCTTCGGGAGGAATTTCTAGCCTTCCGCCGCCGCAGGGATGCTACCAGGGCCCGGCTACCGGCGGCCTATCAACAGTCCATCTCCTACCCTGAACAGGCTACTCTGCTGTGAACACACTTAGTGGGAGCCTAGGAAAGAAAGGCATATGGATCTGCCAAGGAGGCCAAGACTCGGGCTCCGAGCCTGGGCGCTGCCCCTACCGCTCTGTGCGGGCATAGACCCTGATGGTGGCCTGGTGGTAGGCTTGAGTGGGCTTGATGTAGAACGAATGTATTGACTCTTTAGTTGAGTCTAGGGGTTGAACTGTGCGTGCGTGCGTGTGTGTGTGTGTGTGTGTGTGTGTGTGTGTGTGTGTGTGTGGTGTTTATAGTGTGGGTGCAGGTTTTTTTTTTTTAAACTGGCGAATAAAAGTCTGAAAAACATTTCTCTGTTACCTATCTTTGTGTCTAAGAGAGGTGAAGAATTCCTCTGGACCTGTACAGAGAAGATTGGGAATGAGACACATTCAACAATCATTTGAAAAATAGTGGTTGGGTGCCTGGTAGGGCCAGCTAGCAGAGATTTGCTGTTAGGCTATGAAGCCATGAGAAAATACAGAACTCACGGAGATTATGCTTTTGTCCTTGGGGAGTTCTTTCTGGTCAGTGAGGCAGACAAACATTTACAGCATACTAAGTTCCGTGATAAAGCCGTAAGCGGGTTATCACGCGGGCACAAAGAGTTCAGTTTGCGTCAACATTTAGTGAGTACTTATAACGTGTGGGTGGGACTTCCTGGGACCCTCGCCGAAGACTGACATCATTCCCTGTGTGCCGAGCGCTGCTCTATGCTCTTTCCGGGTGCGGTTTAAGTCTCCGCAGCTTTGAGTTTATTTTGTAGACTGGGCAACTAAAGCATAAGGCCGCCTTTTATAAGTGAGCGAAAGCCACACAGCAGGTAACAGGCGGAGCAGGTGAGGTGCCAGTGAAGGACGGGAAAAGCTTCCAGGTGGAGGAGCACCCGAAAAGGCCTGGGGCCCCGAAAGGACGTTCTATAGGTCTGAGTGGGGACTCTGTGGAATAGAAAACCCCAAAGGTCACTGTGGAACTGGCTGTTGTTGTTTTTAAATATCAGGCTCAACAGGGGACTCCCCCATAATGTGAAGAAAGAAAGAACACTGGTGGGTTTTTAAGTGGGGACTCCATTAATTGAAGCCTGAAAAAAAAAGTAGTAGGTGTTCTGGACACCTCTAAACTATTGCTCTCCACCCAAAGAGGCCGAAAAATGCCTGCCAGCTTCCTCCACGAAGCCCTTCCCCTTCTGATCTCTCCAAGATTTAAGGAGAAATGTCGGGTTATTAAACAGGAGATGGAAGGCAGGGAGAGAGAGAAGCCAGGTCTGAACCCCAGGTCCCAACCCCGACCACACCCCTTGGGCCCTGGGCAAGGAGTGACCTCACTGTTAGTTTTTGCCCAGGCTTGAAGTTAAATGGCGAGCAGAACCACGTGGGGGTGCTGTCCCGGCCTGCAGGCCCCCGTCCTGTCACACCCTACTCAATCCTGGGGGAAGGCTCTTCGTGTACCTCCATTCACCTTGCCAGTTTTTAAGCCTGCAATCGTGAGCTAACCTAGGTAGAAAGTTTCCTACTGGATTACAAGTCTATGGCTGTTGAGTGGAGGCTGAGTTCTCATGGATGGAGACCTTTGCAGCGGCGCCGAGAACTGACTCATTAGGTCCTTTAACCCCAATTCCTGCCCACTGACCACCTATCTTAAGCGCTCCAGCATTCCACAAGGCTGCGCCTTTAAACCTTCTCGGCTCTTGCCCCGCCCCTGGTCCGCCCCGTCTGAGGCGGGACCCTCCAGAAAACTCTAAGCCCGGCCGGGTCTTGAGCTCCACTCGCCACTGCAGCCCCTGACGTGCGTGTGTGCACTTGCCCAGCCCGCTTGGACGGTGAGCAGGACTGAGGGACCGGGGAAGGGGAAGGGGTGGGTGGGGGGGGTATGTGTGTGTGGTCTGTAGAGAGCTAGAGGCCAGCACTTGAGTGTAGCTCCAGGAAGCGTGGGGGTTGTAGACTGGCCGCCGCCAAGGGTCCTAACTGGGCGCTCCGCCCCGTGCTGTCAGGTCCGGTTCCCAAGCCTTGACTCTGCATTGTTGGGCAATTAAGTAAGGCGAGCTTTGCGGGTGCATAGACGGGGCGTCCGTCCCGACCCAAAGTCTCCCCCAAAAAGTCCCAAGCCCCAGCAGTCCGCTCCAGCGTCGAGTTCTTGGGGGAGAAGGAAGGAGGGAGTCCCACGTTCTCAGGCTGGCGGCGAGAATGGGATTCTGGCGCGCGCCCCGGTGCGCGTCTGCAATCCCTGAATTTACCGTGCGACCCTTTCACTTCCTGGTCCAGGAGCACGTGTGGGCACTACCTGCCTTCTGGGCCCTGGAGACCGCCCTTTTGCTCCCTCTCCTGCTAGTTGGCTTTTCTGGGTACTCGGGTTCACTACCTGGGGGTCACGGGTCTCGGTGCGTTACTTGCACAGTGGCCTGGTCTTCTGTGAAACCCTATCCCTCTCCTGGAGTGCCT